ATCCCCAGACTTGGTGTTTAGGGTTGCAGAATGCCTCAGTTATTGTGTGACACAGCTGTCTTGACTAGGAGATAGATTTGCTTAAGTTCCCAAGGCTAGCACGCAGATCTGGCTCACGTGGCGAGGAGTGGAGGAGAGATCTTGGGGTTAGGATAAATTCAGCATTCACAGGAAGGAGAGAGCAATTATACCCAGAATAATCTGTATGAGCCAAGTCGTTCCCTATGCCTGGGTTGAGTTAGGGGACAAAGAGGAGTGCTCTACCCTGTGTTGTGGGGATGGCAAGACTCAGAGAAAGGTGACTCTGGGGGGGAAGGGAGGCAGAGAAATACAGCCAGCCTTCTGCTCCTGTGTCTTGGCCCTGGCTAGTTGAGGGACGTAACTTGGTTTACACTGTTCCAGGAACAAATGTAAATAACTATAAGAAACACAGATGACACCAGAGATCACAAATCCTAAACCAGCTGAACCACTTGGCAAGTCCTGGAGGGTGACTGGGTGCAGAGGTGGGCAGTGGATGGTGTGGGTAGGCCCAGGCCCCTGTCATCATCTCATCCCAGATACCGTTGTAACAAATGCCAGGTCTCTAAGTCTCAGTGCTGCCTGGAGTTCCTGCTTTTCCTGCTGGCTCTCTGCTCTTGCTCACCATAGCAACTCCTTTGAATTCTCCTCCCTCGGCCTCCTCCTGCCCGGTGCCTCCCCCTTGGCTCTTGTCAGGCAACCCTCCTCCTCACTCACTCAGGAAACGGACCTTTCTCACTCTGCTGCAACTGGACTTGCCTTTCCCCCCCTCCCTCAGACACAGCATGCTCTGTCCAATAGAACTTTCCGCAGTGGTAGCCGTGTTCTGTCCCATCACTATCTGAAAGGTAGCCACTGGCCAGGTGTGGGCATTGAAACAGCTGGTATAACAGGAGGACTGGATTTTTTCACTTCATCTCATTTTAACTAATTTAAATATGAACAGCCATGTGTGGGAGAGGCCACTTACAGACAGCACCTGTATGGTGCAGCTGGAGGAAGACCAGAGTGCCTGGTTTTATGCTAATCCTTGACATCACTAAGCAGGAGACTCCTGACCAATCTATTATACAAATTCTGAATTAGAGCGTGAGACGAAGGGAGAGAGGGTTGGAAAGGCACAAATATAGTGGGGAAAATATTGCTTTGACTTTTTTTAGTCATTGCAATTCTTGAGAGAGAAGCCACGGTGCACTCATGCCATTGCTGCAAAGCCGGCTGGTACTGACACAGACATGGAGTCTGAACAGGAGGAAGGACCAAACACCAACCAGGTAGAGGAGGGTGTGGTGTCCCCACTGGAGAGTTATTTTAAAGGTTATCTTAGCATTTCCTACCTTAGTACAGAATGTGTGTGACTTGCAAGTCCCATTTTGTGTAGTGATTCAGCTCACTTCTGGTAGTTCCATGACATTCCCAATACTGACATAGCTTTTTAAATCTGACAAGTTCAAGTACCACATCCCCCTCCCCCATACAGTTAACCAATGGCTCCGAGATGCTATTTTGGAGTAATTTGTTTCTCTGCTGATTTTAAGTGTTTTTATGGTACACCAAGCTCCCACCTATTTTGGGGTCAGTCTGTCGCCTGCTTACTAGTGCTGCTTTATCTACACAGCTTGGGCCAGGCTCATATGTCCTCTTGTGGCCCCTGGCCATGCTCTTCCTGTGGGCTTTGGCGCATATTGCCTCCTGTTCTTCCTCCCCTCCCGGGGACCTCTGCTTAGTCTGGGCACTGGTCTCCTTCTTCAGCCCCCTCTAGGTCACAGTACCCTTGACCTGGACAGACCCATGGCTCCCTCTGCTCATTCCTCAGTGCAGCCAGAGGGGATTCTGCAAGGGTGCAAACGAGATCCTGCCATGCCCCTCTTTATACACCCGGTACACCCACCGACTGCTCTTAGGATAAATTCCACATTCCTGACACACCTAAGCCTGAATGGGAGTGACCTTCCTCCCCAGCATACATCACCAAGGATCTGGGTGCAAGTAGTTTATTTGGGAGTTGGGCCAGGGAGGAGAAGGTGGACAATGCATGAAGCAGAAAGGGTAGGTGTGACTGGGGACCTCTGGGAGAAGCCCTGGAACTGGGGCATTTAACCAGCAGTGCCCCTGCCTTGGGGCCTCTGTTCTCTGAAGGCCAGCTCTCCCTCCCTTCTGGCCCTCCTCCTGCCTCTCTTTATGAGGGCTGCCCAGATGTCAAGTCCATTCTGTGCCCTACCCATAGCCATATCCAACTGGACCACAGATCAATAGCTAAACCAATCAGATTCACTCCCCTTGGATTCTGGAATTGGTTTGCAGTGAACTGTGGACACCTCACTCTGAAGGCTTTTTGCTCTCAGAGAAGCAGAGAAAGCCAGGGCTGGCAGTGGGTGTCCAGAGAGTCAGAAAAGGGACCACACAGCTACACACAGGAGGAAAAGCAAGCTCAGTGCATGGCAGTTTAGTTTCTGCTTCTAGTAACTGGTTTTCTTGTGGTTGGGCTGCATTTCCTGCACTTGAGTTCTTCCCCCACCCTTTTCTTTCTTTATTACTTTTTGTTTTGTTTTGGTGTGTGGTGCTGGTGATTGAACCCAGGGCCTTGTGCATGTGAGGCAAGCACTCTACCAACTGAGCTATATCCCTAGCCCAAAATCATCACTGTTTTAAGCCAGGAGATTCTGAAGGTGCTTTGTTATTGCTGCATGATCTGCCCTGTCTTGACTGATACGAACACACACACAAAAAAAAATGCTCAGAAAGAATGGCTGGAACTGCTGATTATGGAGAGAAGAGAGCTCTAGAAAGATAAGATGGAATCATGGAAGTTAAAGTTAGAAACCAGGAGAACATGGGACCTTGGAGAGTCATAGAAATCAAACAGAGAAATTGCTCCAAGAAGTATAGAAGGTTGGTGATGCTGAATGTGCCCAGGGGTCAAGTAAAACAAGGAATAAAATATATCCACGAAATCTGGCGACTGAGAGGTTGTTGGCATCCTTACTGAAAACAGCATCGTGCAGTGGTGGTGATGGTGAAATGGGACAGAGGGCTGAAGCAGGAAGGGACAATGGGGAAGATTCAGCGGCAGCGCTGCTCTGAATACTTCCTGCTTATTGAATCATAAGAGGTGTGGCCGTCTGTGTCTGGCTCCTTTTGCTTAGCATGATGTTCTCAAGCTCTCCCGTGTTGTAGAATGTGTCAGCGCTTCTTTCCTTTTTACGGTTAAATCACATTTCTTTGAATATATTAATTGGATGAAACTTTTGATGATCCATTCTTCCATGGAGGGACATTGGACTTATCTGCCTGGGCAGAGCTGTATGCCTGAGTTTCTGGTGCTCTTGGGAATGCATGAATGAATGAGTGAACAGAGCAGTCCAAGGTCACAGAGTTGTTAGGACACAAAGGCAGGACTGGGGGCCAGGCAGCTAGCCCTCTGGAACCTGCATTCTAACCATCAGGCTTTACTGCCCAGTGCAAGTCCTGTTCATCTCCTATTTTTATAGATACAGGTTGCTGTGTCACTCAGAGTGCTGGCAGGAAAGCTGTCACATACTCAGGTGGCAAAATGGATGAGGGACCTTTTACAAAGGTGTGGGCAGAGTTAAGAAAAAGCACTGAGGGACAATGGGGCTGGGGCTAGCAGCACCCCGGTAAGGAGGGAGTGGTGGCACCAATATGCATGAGCAGGGAGGGGCCAGGAGACTCACGTCTACCCTCTATTCTCCAGCCTCCTGACCTAGAAGTTAGGGAGGCCCTGATGCAGCTTATCTGGGTGAGAAAGAACAAATTAGCTCAGACTGGAAAAGTAAAAATCTCCCTGGCCATTTACTAGCCTGGAATAACAGGAAAATGGATAAAGTCAGCCATAAAGATAACAGGGAACAATATGTCTCTGCATCTATGAAGTGATAATATCCCCATCCCATCTATGATAGACTGCTGCTTTCTTCCTCCCTGAGAAACACACCCCTCTGAAATCACACACAGTCAGAAACTTGGCTGTTTGCAGCGATATGACTTAGAATGAAATCTTTCACTCTTGCCCTGAGGATCTAAGTCACTCTGACCGAGAGAAGTGCCTCTGTGTGTACCTCAGAGCTTCAGACAAAGGGTTTCTGGATTCAAGGCTCAACATTGATCTTGGCTTTGTTGCTTCTAAGGAAACAGGGCCCTGGGTCCCCTTTGCAATCTATATTTGAAGTTGTCTGCTTTCCTCTGAGCCTATTGAAACGCGACTTCATCTCAACTCCACCTTCCTTGGAATCCTACAGTAGCCTCATCTCCTCCCTTGTTTGGTGATGTCCTGGGCTCCCATGGTGGGGCATCTCCCTCACAGGAAGGTCAAGAAACACAGTGGACTGCCACTTAGTTCCTGGTGATCTGAGGCTGATTGGGCTGTCATGGGTTCACCCCCACCCCAGGGCACAAAGGAGGATGAAGAGTAAATCTAGAGGATCAACTGGGAGAGATTCAGCATAGAAATAAAGTACCCCACCATCCAGAGTATTGTCAAGGACAGGGGAAGGAAAAGGGGACACTTTCATTCAAGAAGTGCTCCTATACATCTGGGGTTGAATAAAGAGCTGTAGAAAGGAATCAATCTGTGAGTGGGGTTTGAGGCAATGGAAAGATCTAGGCTCTTTCCAGAGGCACAATGGAAGTATTGGGTCTCATGACATTTGAAGGGCTGCCCCTTTCTCCCAAATGAAATGAGTTCAAAAAAGCGAAAGGAAAGAGGGGAAAGGGAGAATTCTAAAAATGCCACACTCTGAACACCATCTTTGTGCAGGCGTCTGGGGGAGGCCAGCTGGGGCGGGGTCCTCTGCCAGTCAGGCCTGTAGGACTTGGTTCTTCTTGTTTATCCCAGTCACAACTGGGGCAGTTGCCAGGGCCCGCCCCCACTCTGCCGTCATTGGAGGAGCTCAAAGTTAAAGGATCCCACTAAGAATCAATACGTTTCATTTTGCGGTTCCTGGGGGGAAGTGGGCAGTCGCCCTGGCCTTGAGCAGGGAACGAGCCTCTCACCATGCCGGCCTGCTGCAGCTGGAGTGAGGTTTTCCAGTATGAGACAAACAAAGTCACCCGGATCCAGAGCGTGAATTATGGCACTATTAAGTGGATCTTGCATGTGATCATCTTTTCCTATGTGTGGTGAGTGGCGCGGGGGTGCGCAAATCTCTGCAGCGAGGAAACCCCAAGGGGCCGTTTCAGGTGCACATCCTGAGTCCACGTGCCTTTCAAGGCTGAGGACCTCCCAGCAAGCCTGGAGGAAGCTGCGCAGGCCGCAGCCGGAGGAAGCCACCGAGGGAGGCGAGTGTGGACTCCATTCAGCTCCAGCCCAAGCCTGCCAGGTGGCGCAGGGCTGGGCATGCCTGGGGAAGGTGGGAACACAGGGCGACACCCTGGATTTCCAGGGAGGAGGCAGGGATTTCAGGTACACCTGGTGATACTGTTGGCGTCTGGATTACCATGCTGAGGGGAAGGAATAGGACCAGGCTTGTAAATGTCTCTGTGGGCTCCCTTTGTTTGTGTTTTGTTTTTTATTCGTGTGTGGGTGTGGTGCTGGGGATCAACCCCAGGGTGTTGTGTCTAGAAACTGCTCTACTACTGAGCCACAACCCCTGCCCCTGCTTTTATTATTTTAAAAACAGTTCATTGAGATTCATACACTGTACAACTTGCTCATTTAAAATGTATAACTCGGTAGTTTTTAGTGTGTTCACAGAGTTGTGCGATTATCACCATAATCAATTTAATACATTTTCCTCTCCCAAAAAGAATCCTACACCCCTCAGCCATCATATCCAGCCCGCCTCCCATACCCCCTCAGCTCCAGGCATCCACTAATCCACTTTCTTTCTCTGTGGATTTACCCATTCTAGATATTTCATATAGATGGAATCATGCAGTGTGTGGTCCTTTGTGACCCACCTTTTTTTCTTTACCATGTTTTCAAATGTTCATCCATGTTGTAGCATGTATCAGTACTTCATGCTCTTTAATGGCTGAATAACAGTCCATTGCATGAATAGGTCACGTTTATTTATCCATTCATCAGTCGATGGACATTAAGGTTGTTTCTCTTTGGGGCCATCGCGAATAATGCGACCATGAACATTTGTGTCTGAGGTGTGGTGGTGTGTTCTCATTTCTCTTGGATGTGCACCTAGGAGTGGGACTGCTGGATCATATGCTAATGACATTTCACCTTCAGAGAAACAGATGGTCCGTTTCCCACAGCTGCTACATGTCTTCACATTTCCACCAGCAGAATGTGAGGATACCAGTCTCTCCACACCCTCACCAACACTTACTAGTGTGCCTTTTTATTATAGCCAACCTAGTGGGCATGGGGTGGCGTCTCTTTGGGTTTGACTTCCATTTCCCTTAAGGCAAATGCCTTATTCTCTGTGGTGGTGGTGGTGGTGCTGCTGCTGCTAATGATAAATTGTATCCACACAGGGAAACACTGTAGTGTACTAAGAGAACATCTATTTTATAATCACTTAACCTCTCTGAGCCTGATTCTGCATCTGTTCAAATCATTGTTGTGTCAAACACGGAATGTAGCTGGGTGTGGTGGTGCATATTTGTAATCAGAGACTTGGGAGGCTGAGGCAATAGGATCACAAGTTCAAGGCCAGCCTCAGCAACTTAGCCAGACCCTATCTCAAAAGAAAAAAATAAGAAGTGCTTGAGATGTAGCTCAATTGTATAACAGCCCTGGGTTCAATTCCCCATTACTGAAAAGAGGGGGATAGCACCAAAATCCCTTATGAGCACCATTAACCGGTAGTTATTTTTAAAAATTACAGTTGTGAATGTAATTGGACATCCTGTCCTCTGAGTCTCAAAGTAATCACATCCAGGCTTGGATTTGAGATCTCAGGATGTAGATACAAAATTTTTCCCCCCATCTTTGGGCCTTGGTTCCCTCCTCAATAAAATAGGGATCATTGTTGGGACCATTAAATGGACTAATAAATGCAAAACTGTTAGAGAGATGTGTAGCACATAACAAGCCCCTGTCGGAGTGTTAGTCCTTATTAAAACACCATTGTTAGGATTATCATTATTTATTTCACACAGTTACTATTTAACAAATTTATGTATAATTTTTTTTTTTTTAAAGCTAGAGGTCTGGGGTTGTGGCTCAGTGGTAGAGCACTCACCTAGCACGTGCGAGGTGCTGGGTTTGATCTTGAGAACCACAAAAAAATGAATGAATAAAATACTAAACAACTAAAAAATATTTTTTAAAAAAAGCTATAAAAAAGATAACTCTAGGGCCTGTGATTGTGGCTCAGCGGTAGAGCACTCACCTCAGCACCACATTAAAAAAAGGCATTGTGTTGTGTCCATCTACACCTGGGGAATAAATGTTAAAAAAAAAAAAAAAAAGAAAAAAAAAAAAGATAACTCTACACAAAGTGCTTTTCCCCCCACTTTTAAAAAACCTGGTCCAATTAATTATATATGACAGTAGCATGCACTTTGACACATCATACATAAATGGAGTGTAACTTCTCATTCTTCTGGTTGTACATGCTGTAGAATCACACTGGTCATGTAGTCATGTAAGCACATAGAGTAATAATGTCTGATTCATTCTAATATCCTTCCTAACCTCATACCCCCTCCCCTCCCTTGGCTCCTCTCTGTCAAATCCAAAGTAATTCTGTTCTTCCCTAGCCGCCCCCCTATTGTGAATTAGCATCTGCATATCAGAGAAAACATTCAGCCTTTGGTTTGGGGGGATTGGCTTATTTCACTTAACATGATATTCTCCAGCTGTATCCATTTACTGGCCAGTGCCATAATTTCATTCTTCTTTGAGGCTGAGTAATATTCCATTGTGTATATATACCACATTTTCTTTATCTATTCATCTGTTGAAGGGCACCTAGATTGGTTCCATAGTAGAGCTATTGTGAGTTGAGCTATAAATATGGATGTGGCTGTGTCCCTGTAGTATGCTGATTTTAAGTCTTTTGGGTATAAACCGAGGAATGGGATAGCTGGGTCAAATGGCGGTTCCATTCCAAGTTTTCTGAGGAATCTCCATACTGCTTTTCATAATGGTTGCACCAATTTGCAGTCCCACCAGCAATGTATGAATGTGCGTTTTCCTGCACATCCTCGCCAATATTTATTGTTGCTTGTATTCTTGTTAACTGCCACTCTGATTGGAGTGAGATGAAATCTTAGAGTAGTTTTGATTTGCATTTGCATTTCTCTAATTGCTAAAGATGTTGAACATTTTTTCATATATTTGTTGATCGATTGTATTTCTTCTTCTGTGAAGTATCTGTTCAGTTCCTTAGCCCATTTATTGATTGGGTTATATTTTTTTTTTCTGTTAAGCTTTTTGAGTTCCTTATATATCCTAGAGATTAGTGCTCTATCTGAGATGCGTGTGGTAAAGATTTTCTCCCATTCTGTAGGCTCTCTCTTCATGTTATTGTTTCCTTTGTTGAGAAGATTTTTAGTTTGAATCCATCCCATTTATTGGATTCTTGATTTTATTTCTTGCACTTTAAGAGTCTTGTTAAGGAAGTCAGATCCTAGGCAGACGTGGTAAAGATTTAGGCTTACATTTTCCTCTATTGAGCACTAGGTCTCTATTCTTGTGCCTAAGTCTTTGATCCATTTTGAGTTGAGTTTCATGCAGGGTGAGAGATAGGGGTTTAATTTCATTCACAAAATGCTTGTTTTACTGTTTTATTTAAAAATATAAAATCAAAGAAAAAATATTGCTAATTTGCTTTCTTCCTCTTTGTTAATGGAGTATCTATTAACATTTCACCAAATGGGGTCTCATACTCACAGCTTGGGAATGCTGCCTTAAGTCACAGGCAACCAGGACTCAGCCAGCTGTGTTGCGGTAGACCACAGGACTGGGAGAGGTAGTTTGCACCAGGTAGGACAGACCTGGATCACAAGCGGAAGTCCACACAAGCCAAGCTTGCTTAGGACATAGCAGCCAGTGGGGGGCTCTTGGGCTGAAAGGGCAAAGAGCCAGGCTAAGGAAGTAAAGTGAAGCCTCAGTTCTGAGCACGGTGAACAAGGCAGGGGCTGGCTACAGGAGAAATAAGGCAAGAGCCTGATCAGCTTCTTGGTCTCTCCCAACCAAGTCTATATCTGGAGTTGAAGGCAAGGAGGCACCGACGAGAGGCGTCAGGCAGCTCCAGCTTGCTGGGCTGTAGGATCGTGGGGACAGGATGCTGACCAGGACTGTCAGTCAGGGTTTGGGGTAGTAAGTGACAAAAACCTAACTCAAGTTAATCACAAAGCCACCATGTGGGATCTATTGGATCATGAAACTGGGCAATTAAAGAGATGGGGCTGTCCTCAGACAGGAATGAACATGAGTTTAAACTAGGTCACTGGGGTGGAGCTCTCTCCCCGAATCTGTTTGGCTCTGCAGATGCTCCTTGGCTTATGACAGAATTATGTCCTGAGAGACCCATTGAAAATTAAAAATATACTAAGTCAAAAATGCATTCAATACACCTATCCTATTGAAGATCACAGCTCAGCAAAGCAGCACACCGTACAGCGCAGTTGTGATCGTGATTGCTGGCTGTCTGGGAGCTGAGGCTCACAGCCTCTGCTCAGCAGCAAGAGACAGTGATGGGGGCCAGAGCTGTGGCTCAGTGGTAGAGTGCTTGCCTAGTATGTGTGAGGCACTGAGTTCGATTCCCAGCATCACGTAAATATAAACAAATAAAATAAAGGTATTAAGGTATTGTGTTCATCTACAACTAAAAAAAAAAGCTCAGGGAAAAATTATCAAAATTAGAAAAACAGTTTCTACTGAATGCTTATTCATACCATTGTAAAGTCAAAAATCATAAGTCCAATCACTGCTTGGTTGGGGACAGTCTGTATGTGGTTTCCTTCTTGATCAGGCTAAGTAGCAAGATGACATATCCTCACACCCTCTCCAGCAGCTTCAGGGGAACAAACCAATCTCTCCTGACAACTCTGGTAAGAAGGTCCCAAGGAAGACTCTGATTGGTCAGATCTGAGTTAGGGGGTCCCATCCCTAAACCAATCACTATAGCTAAAGGGATGGTGTCTTCTGAATTGTCAGCCTTGGGTCACGTTCTGGCTCCTGTGCCAGGAATTAGGGAGAAGAGGGCAGAGTG